TAAATTCCGCGATATCAAAGCAGCCTCTTTCGTGGCGTGTACATGAGTCACGTATATAGCTTTATGTATGGCTCTGCTAAGCGTTTTTCTCTCGCCTTTAGCCAAGTTGCGAATTTTTCTCGTCATTATCTCGTCTCGCGTCGACAAATTCCTCGCCATGTCGAAACCGTTCAATGTTTATCTTCAGTAGCGGCCACATTTTTAGGATGTACGTTCACGCGCGACGTTATTACGAGATTCCACGACGAAGAACATTCCGTCGTAAAACTTTGCTAAACGTTCCACTCATTGTCCACGCTCGTACACATCGTTATTTCCATTTTTACGGTCTTGCAAAATCCTTGCCTCCATTTATTTAGAACTGAATTTTCTTGTTATACGTGCGCGCGTGACAGAATATTTCAAGCCAAATTTAACGCTTGGCAGAAAATTAGAAGGTATCTTTTTTTAAATAATTTTTTAAACATTTTACCTTTGGATTGATTTATGTTGAAAACGCTTCGTAAAGTTATAAAATTATTTTCAGCGAATATTGGCATCCGTAAATGAAGTTTTCATATTTGAAATAATTGCATTTTTTTACTATTACATTCTGTCTTTACTGTTCCATTTGATTACTGTTTTATAAAATTGACATCTCGTGTGATAGATTATATTACCTTATCTGTATTGTAGTCTTACTTACCATAACTGGTCATGTCTCTCTTTTTCGTTGGAACAAGTTTCTTATACGTGCTATTTCAGTTTGCTACTTATCTTTATCTTTTTCATCGCGCGTGTAAATCATTGTTGTAGTCGCTTTCACTCAAGAATCGCTCATTCAAGCGTACTTATCGGTCGAGATTTTCTGGAGTACGCTTATAGCGGACTTTCACGTCGCGCTTCGTCTATTTTTCATTATTTCCCGATATAGCAGTTCGTTTACCTTTGATAAAAAAGAGACAAATCCTCCGCATCTCTCCCTTATCCCGAATATCTATGATGGAGAGTCGCGCTGTTCACTTTCTGTTAATTCTCTTCTAATTTAATCAAATCGTCGCGTTTATTTTTCCCCGTAAAACGTAAAAATGTTTAACATTGTATTTTTATTTTGGTAAAAATTTAAATTGACAAAAAATGTTCATTTATTCATATCCATATTTTAATTTTTTTCTGGTATTTGAGAAAAATTTAAGTAACTGCTGGGAATCGAAAAGCGTATTTAAATATGTATATCTGTAAATATTCTTAAAATATTTTCCTGCACTCTTGATTTATGTTCTTTTTCACAATGTTGTAAAACTAGTTATCAGGAACATAATAGTATGCAGTCAATCTGCAAATTGTTGCTTTTCATTTATGTTTTTTTCCTGGAACCGGAGATTTATCACGTTGTATATCTACTTCTATAGCCGAGATAATTTTCAGCCAGTAGAGTTAGAAAAGGGGCAAAAATTATGACAGTCGTTCGAATCGGTCGACGCGGTAACAACGTCGCGTTGCGGTTTAATGGTTCGACGTGTTTCACAATAATGCCAATTTACGGCGACGCTAATCGTAGACGGTCACTTTATCGAGTGGTCGATCGCGCGACGGGACATCAAAATCAGTTTGTAACAATCGCTAATGGCGCATCCCCGATCGGGACACGCGATAACTGGCATCGCCATCGCGTCGCGAGACTCCCATCTCTGATCAAGAAACACGATCTATCTTACATCGCGACTGTAATCGGTGGGAAAACTCTGTCTCGGGCTTCGCTTCATTTAGACAGGTGCACTTTATATCCAAGTAACGCAATAAAAATCATCATTTTTCTTCTATATACCCTCTTATAAGTCAGGAAATAATTGAAGCGATGTTACACAGACATTATTTTCTATTTTAATAAAAAGTGCCAGGAAATTTAATATATTTTTCTTCGTAATATTTATAATAAAAAGCGTTAATATACATAATATACATGTATGTATACAAGATTAATATGCATATACAAGATGATTCATATAAAGTGACCGATGTGAATATTAGCTAAAGTTGAAGAGCTATGAAAAAATTTTTACACCGAAAGATGTTTGATACAGAGGGGGACATCATATGGTACAAACGATATTTTTATAGATGAAGGCAAGGAGATTTCAAGATCAACTTAATTTGTTTAAATGAAACCCCCATTTTTTATTACGGATTCTTATAGTTTATCTCGAGAGCTTTCCAAAACACTATAATAAAGTATTTCTTCATTGAGTACTTTTCGAGTTATGAGGCTTGAAATAATTTCTTAATTTTTACATAAACCTTAAAATATCTAGTCAAATATTCATTTTTCGATTATCTTACCTTAATACTTTTATGTACGAAATAATTAGAGGAATCAATTGGTGTAAAGAAAACATAGTTGTTTTTAAGAAAAAATATGGAATTGTTAATTACAAATTATATATATTTTTTTAAAACAACTATGTTTTTTCTTTACACCAATTGATTGCTCTCATTATTTTGTATATAAAAGGTATTAAGGTAAGATAATCGAAAAATGAATATTTTACTAGATATTTTATGGTTTATTTAAAATTAAGAAGAAATTATTTCAAGCCTCATAACTCGAAAAGTATTCAATGAAGAAATACTTTATTATAATGTTTTGGAAAGCTTTCGAGATAAGCTATAAGAGAATAGCCTTAAGAATATTATTAAAAAATAGGGAGTTCCATTTAAAAAAATGAAGTTGATCTTGAAATCTCCTCAATGCCTTCATCTATAAAAATATCGTTTGTACCATCGATATTTTTAACATAAAATTTTCACAGAGAGAAGATTTAATCCTTGCAATTAATGGAAAAATATCTTCATTCAGGGAGCGGAATTTTCGAAATTTTTCGCGCAGTACCTTATACCTCGTTTTTATCTCATCGAAGGAAAAATGTATATGTAATAATAGAGCGCAAGCGAACTTTTTTCAAGCCTTCTGCGTAATGAGCGCGCTATTTGTTTCGAGAGAAAGAAAGAGGCGCTTACAAATTTTTCTTTGACTGGCGCGTAATAATAGAGAAACCGCTTCAAACACGCTCGTTGCTGATATATCTATATAATAATAGAGAGACGGTTTCTCCCGAACTTCTTGCTCGACGAGTGTGTAATAACAGACGAGCGGTATCGAACTTCCGCCCGATGCGTGCGCTAATAAGGAAGGTGCTTCTTTTAAAAACAACGCGTAATAACGCGCAGAGGAAACGCGGTGCCAAAACTTTTCTCGATGCGTCTAATAACGAGATGGGAATTTTAAAAAGGGACCGTGTCTCTCGGCTGCACCATCGGCAGACGGTTTGGATGAGAGAGCGAACGGGAAGAGATTCGACCGAATGGCGTGCCGCGGGCGATTGATGACTTGCGACCTACTTTTCGCGCCGGCGACCCAGATGCGAGGGTGCTCCTGATGTAAGATATCGGTCTCTTCTCTACCTCTCTTTCCCGCTTCGCCAATGTTGCTTCTCCTCTGCACTCTCTCCGCTCTCTCGATTCGCCTTGCGGCTGTGTGCGTGAGTGTGCATGTGTGTGTGACAATAATCGGCCCGGTTAGTTGCTCCGACAGCGAGAATATATAGCCGGTCTCGTTTCGCGGATCGCGAGTGACTTTGAAGTTAAGTTACGAGATTTTCGAGAACTGATTATTTTGGAGCTGACATATGTTAGATTCCAAAAGTCTTAAAACACAAACATATGTGTTTCTTATTTATTTCATCTTAGAATGTGCGCTTGTAAATATTCGACTTGTATAAATCATTTTTAAAATAATTCGTCTTAAATAAATCGATTTGTTTGAAAATTGCTTTATTTAAATTCCTTTGCTTAAAAATATAAGATAGTATTCTATTAATTATTTAATGCTACGAATTGAATCATTTGTCTGCAGAATTAAAGTTACGGCATGTCATTATTTTAATTTGAACAATATTATATTAAAACGTAACGTAAACGAGCGTGTAATAAAAAGCGCTTTCCGATAGGTGACGTTTTGCATGCGAAGAGTTATTACCGCAGGTATTTTAAGCGGAGTGCATTTTAAACGAGCGACTTATCGTTCGATGAATCATCGATACGACCGAATAGAGTTACTCTATTTTTCGCTCATGATTCATGGTGTAAGTAAGGTGATATCGATGGAATGTGCGATATTTTATCAACATTATCCAATGCAAATTCCATGTCATATACGTATGAAAATAGCATTGATAGCGGAGAATTTATGTAACTGCCCAGAATTTTCTTTGAATTAAAATACACTCAATTATATAAAAATCGCGCTCCTTTGATATTCCTACAAGATTAGATTTTTTTCTCCTTCTTTTCTACATTTAAATTTTCTACTCAATGTGTGTAATTTGCAAAAATGCAACACTTAAAAAAGAAAACCAACTATTTACCAATTATAATTTACAATTTTATCATTACATATCGTTTTTTCAGATTTGTTAATTTTCCTCAATTTTATAAAAAAACTTTATTCGATCGAAGATAAAATTAGAAAGTTATAAAATTTCTCTTTCCCTTTGTGCAATCTACCTTAGACTGGCTCATATTTTACGCTGCAGTAAGCAAGGGGCAAAGAAGGAAAATGGGGAAAACAGGTTCGGGATTTGTTTATGAAATTTATGCTAAGTCAAAGAAACCCGGATAAGCAGGCAGGCAGACAGGCAGGCAGGCAGGTAAATTCGTCTCTGTCAGTGTCGCGGCGAGTAGGCGACGATACTCTCCGACACGTCTCTCGTCCTGCCTCCCGCGCTTCTCCAACTTTCTCCGTACGATCTCTCGCCGAATTGTGACAGCGTCGTCGTCGTCGTCGTCGTCCGCCGGAAGGATACGATGCCGCGCCGCGCGATATATACTCGATGTGCTCGGCGTCGTATCGAAAGGTGGTAAGGAGTGGGAGATCGGATAATGGGGAGGGGGACCAAGTTCCGTCGTTGTAGCGGGGGTTGATGTGCTCGCGGTGGTGGTAGCGACGACCAGGGGTAGGGAGACCTTCGCGTCGCAGAGCACCGAGAACGGTGTACGGTCGCTCCGGACAGCGCCAGCTTCAGTGTCGTTCCGGCCACGGTCTCGTACGGTCGCGTTCACGGCGAAAGATCACGCTCTCGCTCTCCTTCGGTCTTTTTCCCGGTCTACTTTCGCCCCGTGAGACGCCGCGCTCGTCTCGGCGAGCCGAAGATTCGATTGTTCTCGGCGTTAACGAGGGTCGTTAAAGATGGGCTAGATCGAGGAGCGGCTTTCATCCGTTCAGCCGCGGCCACATCAAGATCGTCGGAATAATGTGTCGTGACAAGTAGAGCAACGTAGAATTGGAATTGTCGAGTGGGCAGTGTCGAGTCGAATCTATCGTCAGAGATATACCGTGCGGTTGACAGCACCGGTGGCGTTGGTGGTCCGCGGGCATTGTAAGATGAGCCCGGCCTCCCAGGGCGCCCTGGAGGTGGAGCGTTACATCGGCAGCTGTCTCATCTCGTCCAACGTGCGCGCTGGACTGCACGGAAAGCCCGCGACCGTCTGCCGGAAGCAGGAACAACCAGCGACGGTACGCGGCGCCAAGGCCCGCGGCTGTTACAATAATGGAGCGCAGGGTTACTCCGGACTGGCCGATCAACAGCAGTGTCAAGTGCAGTACGGCGGTCCTGGCGGCTGGACGGGCGCGCCATTGATATCGATGACGTCGAGCCCGCGCAGATGTAATCAGCGATTATCGCCGTCGCTGGGCCAACAGCAGCAGCAGCAGCAGCAACAGACAACCTGCTGTGCCGATCAACAGCAGGTACCGCCAGGCGGTCATTTGCATAAGAGTCCTCTGTCCAGGCTGGCGATTCACACGCAGGGCGCGCCTTTGATCTTAGCCGGGCGATTCTACAATCGCGGCAAGGTACATGGCAACAACGGTGGCAATTCCAATGGCACCGTTAACACTCTCTGCGGCAATGCCGTTGGCAGTTACGTTCATAATAACGCGAACTCGTCCACGACGAGTAACGTGAACGGCTCGACGAGGTGTCCGGCGTCGCGAATCGTCGCTCAAAGGCCACCGGAGACCTCCATGAAGAAATCTGGAACGATTTCCGCGAATTCAAAGATGCCGAATCCCGACTGTCCCTCCGCTGCGGGAAAGGAGAACGCCGGTTCCTCGAGTATTGCGAACATCGATTCTCTCAGTATCGCGAGCGACGAGAGTTCTGGGTCGAACAACTCGGAGAACAGCCTACCGCGCATAATCAAGCCTCGCAAACGTCGAAAGAAGGATCGCAAGCCGCCGAATAACGTCGTCGCGAACGGCATCGACGCGGCGAAATCGGAGGAGCCGGTAATAACGCAGCGTCAACAGTCCTCGGGTTGCGGTAACGGAGTATCCGGGGAACAGAGCGTCGTCGTCAAGTACGCGCCAACCTGCTACGAACCGAGGATTTACGAGGCGGTCGCGCCGCATCTCAGGAATTACCGGAGGCCACCGGTCGGCCATCGGGAGACTGTCTACGGCGGCTGTAGAGCGCCGTCGATGCAGATGGAGATGGCGGACGTCAGGCAGCAACGGTACGCGCATCATCGGCACCACGTGCAAGTGAAAGTGCTAGACGACAACCGTAACGTGGTCGCGGCGCCGATGCGTGCCGCAGCGGCGCCGCCCAAGGGCTACCGGCATCATCATCACGCCAACGGTAACGGAAACTGTAACAGCGGTCTGCCGCGACGTTACGTTCACGAGTACGCGGGCGAGTCCTGCGAGGCCGCCGCGAGGGAGGACGGTCTGGGCCCGTGTCAGTGCCGATACTGCGATCCGGCCGGTCTGATCTGGGACGTCGACCGGAACGGTTACTCGCCGTTCTTGACGGCGCCGTCGCTGTCGGTTCCACCGCCCTCGTCGTCATCGTCCCCGGGGGTCGATTATCGTCACGGCGGGCATTTCGGTCAGATGCCGCTGTTTCTCACGCCGCCGTGTTCGAATCTACAGGAACGCGCGCTCGATAGACTGTTCGACGAGCACTCCCGATCACAGGACGACGGTAGAGAGTCCGTTGTGGGGCCCGGCGGCGTGGTTTTGAGACGCAGCTGGAGCGATCCGACGAGTTACTTCAGCTACGGCGAGGAGATTGTCGCGCCGACGAGGGACGTCGGCGTCATCGGCGATCGCGGAGGCCAGTCCGAGAGCGGGAAACACAAACGGACCCTCTGGCGCGGGGACAGCATCGGCGGCGCGCCGACGAGCTCGTCGACGGGAGCCAACGGTGCGAGTCCGAACACTGTTGGCGGACCTGCCGCGTCCCCGAAGGGTCTCGAGGTCTCCACCGAGATCATCACCTCGCCCAACGGCCACCGCGACCTGGAGATCAAGTTCTACTCGTCGCCGTCGCCCGCCGAACGTCTCGTCGAGGAGGACAAGTCGTCGAGTCTCGTCGACGAAGCCGAGGACGACGAGCACAACGGCGACGGCGACTTTAGCGACATATGGAGTTACCACGAGTCGAAGCTGCAGCAGGACTTCCGCACGTTGCTACAGGCGGAGGAGTGATGGGCCGTTTCGTCGACTTATTATTACTTCTCTCGAAGTGTCCACGTGCGTTCGCGGTCTCGTAAACTCGCTCGGTGGAGTGCGAAGTGAGAGCGAAGCGACGACGACAACAACAATAATAATAATAACATCGATAAAAACACGGAGCAAAAAATAGAGTGCGTGGATGTTGACGACGAAAAGTGTTTGGCATCTCCCGAAGCGGGTGGAAAAAAAAATACGACGACATTTACTTCGCCCATCCGTCGCGCGTAAACACAACTCGCCCGAGTCTCGCGACGTCGCTTTTATGTGCGGTCGAGGGTCTTGGGCCAAGTGTCCCGACACCGTATCGTTTTATGAAGCGCGAAGCCGCGAAACCTCGACGAGACAACAACAACTACGACGAAGAAGGCGATAACGACGACTACGACGACGACGAAGGGCGGCTTTTCATCGTTAACGGTGTTCGTAGTAACTTTGCACGCGACGCGATACCGGATGGATCATCGCTTCGACGCTTCTTCTCGATGACGTTTCGCGTAGCGAAGTGAATTGACTCTCAGACGCAACGAGAGACGGTGCGTCGAACGTAGCCTTGTCGCGAGCGTGTTAGTCCGAGGGAGATGGAAAGAATGCGTATTCGCGCGTGTAACGACTGCATCTATCATGCGTCTTAAACGTAATGAATTTTTCTTGTAGTGGGTCGTAGTACAACGATCGTCTCGGTTGTATAAGCAACAGTCGCTCGTATACATATGTTTACGCAAGTGCTTTTTATGTCCCGCTTATGCAAGTTTTCGCTCGGAGATCCGGAGGTGGGAATTATTAATTGAGTTAGTTTATCGTGGGAAGAAACTCTGTCCGTTGTCCGGAAAATAATTACGCTGTATATTTTACAAAATCGTTCCATCGCACGACTGTATGGATCGTGTAATCGATCCAATTTGCGTCGCTCGATTAAAGAGCACCGAGTAATAAATTCTATCGACTTATAAATATGTAGCTATAAAAAATGCTTAGGTAATGCCGGTTGGCTTAATCGCGGTTTAATTACGTATCGATTCTATGCGTGGAGTAGCCACTTTCTCTTTATTTTCGTAACTCGTATTTTCGAACAACGACAGTTGTACTACGACTTACGACGAGAAATCGTGCGTTAAAAGAGGCCAGGAAACGATGACAACGTAAGAATAGAAATAAAAAATGCATAAACATTTCTGATATTTTATGTATTATCAATCAGAATATTGAAATGCTTTCAACCGTGCTCTTCGGTAGACGCGGGGCCATCGCTCATGTCTTTTATTCCTCCGCTACATCTGTTTTCCGATCGATTTCCCATTCGATGATTTTATCTCATCTATCGTAAATTTATTCCATTTCCTTTTCGCCCTCCGACGTTCGATTCTTATTTTTCATCGTGTCTTGGCTACTTAATTAGAAGTATGTAGAATACTAAATCGTCGCCGCTTTGCGCGTAATTAAGCAGCGACTATTTTTCTTGATGTTCGTTAATTACAAAAAAGCGACGATTTGTATGTATTCTACACGAACGCGCGACACTTTCTTTAATCATCTGCGTCGCGAGAAGTTAAATCGTCTCGACCAAATTTGATTTATAGTTTTACGCATCTCTCGACGCGTGAAACTTTATTCAATTACGTCAGTCATATCAGAATAGCTCGAGAGAACGGCAGCCTCGCGTCGCGAAGTCTAGAGGACGACGTCTAGAAGAAGCGCCCGGGGAAAGCACCGTGCCAGCCGCGAGGGGGTTAATCGCGAGGGTTAATCGCGAGATGCACTCGGGCCCGCGCATCGTCTCGCCCCGCAAGAGCGGCGAAGTGTACCGGCTTTTTCTCGCCGCCACCGTTCAAGACGAGTAGCGGCGACGTGACCGTTTAAAACGTAACGTAGCAATTAATCGGAGGAACGATGAACGGTCCGGTCCGGCCGCTAGCCGATCGTAATCGACGTCTGCGCCTTCCACCCCTCTCTCTCCTCTCTCGCGGCCGATAGTAGGTCGAACTGTCGGAGAGGATCTTCTTCTTCTTTTTCTTCTTCTTCTTCTTTCTCTTTCTCCTTCTTCCCTTCCCGAGGGGCTTGCCTCGCGTGAAAGGAGCTACCGCCTTCGTATTAGTAATTCCGTTTAATCGCGCGCGCTATCACCGTGTTTTATCGGATAACTCGGCACAACGGTTCAGCTCGTTGACTTGATAACCGGGCGGGCTGCCTCGCCGCGAGTTCGTAACATTGTTACGCGTCCCACCTTCCTCTTCTTGCGCGCCGTTTACCGTTGCCTCTCTTAAATAACGGCAGACGGATCGGATAAACTCGTTATTGATTTGTCCAATATCAATACTTTAGAAGCGGGACTATCGTCGTTGTCGTTTCGCCGCGACTTGAAACTGGATGGGAGAGATATTGTCGCACGTTCCGTTACCGGATATCTGTCTCTCGCCACTCGATAACTGAAGTCTATAACGTTCGCTTTGAGCGTGGAATTAAATTGTAATTAGCATACTTTTGTATTCTTCTCTTTCGCGATGAAACTTGCGCAGTTATTTCGAATTCTCTTTTTATCTTTAAATAATGCGATTATGTATAATACTTTCATATCTATTTATATCTAAAGGAATCGAGATTATTTTTTCCAGTGTCGATAAGGATCCTGAAAAATGACTAGAAAACTCGTTTCTCTATCAATTTATTATCAGACTTAGGTGACTTCCGTTAATTTTTCGAAAAATATAATCGATCGCAATCTCCGCGCTTATCGCAACGATCGGGACAGGTCGAAGCTCTCGAGATCGTGCGAGGGTGGAAGGTGCGGCAGGAATTACCACGGCAGGATCAATCTATATAAACTCGAGATACGCTATATCTATATTAAAACGAAAGGCCATCGCGCAGATTTACACAGATCGTAGAAGCGAGTAAACGTAGAAGCGAGTCGGGCGGTCACACACACGTACACGTGCAAGGTCCGTGTCGCGATCTATGTCGTGATAGGTCGACTCGTTCTTCTGTAAATCTGCGCTCGATGATCGAGAGAACGTCGGTCGAGGAGACCGACCGCGTGCGACGAACCCTGCGTCATTTTGTATGCGATATACGAAGACTATACCACCTTATCTCCCCGCTCCCCTTCCGCGTTCCCCCACAATATACATGTCAACCAGAGACAAACAAAACACGCATTACTACGCGAGCCACCACAGCATTATAACACGTTATCATCTTTACCATACACATACGGGCACAGACACACACACACACACACGTACAACCAATCAACCACCTATCGTTAGACCGTAAGTTTAGAATCTAAGACGATCCACTTAGATTATTATCTCCGTTGTCTATATGTGTATAGAAGAAATCGCGTGAAGACGGTTCGCCTTTTGTTGTCACGATTTCGGAATACGCGATGGAAAAACGACGACGAGACACGACCGGGAATCTAATCGAATGAATGTTGTTTTGCACGATATGTGTCTCCTTTTGGAGAAATGGAGCAAAGAGAAAGGATAAATATATTATAATGAATAAAACGTGAGAAAAATACAGAGAATAAAATAAAATTATTGCATCATCTCTTTATAAAATGCGATGACTGAGATAACTATATATATATATACATACACACACATAATATATATAGGAATCGGAAGTTTGATGTTCTAGTTTTCCAAAGTATACACGCGGTGGAATCACTCATGAATATTTATAGCTGCCGTTTCTCCAAAAAGAAGCGCGCGCGGATTAAACTAGGAGGAAACCGATGAAATCTTGTTAGTATTCAGTACACACTCGCAGCGTCGGGAATACGAGGGTAGGCCGTAAAAATTCTCCAATGACGACTACAACGACGTCCGTTTAGGCTGTAACGGGTGTGCGCTTTGTGCCAAGTTGGACGTGGCGAGCGTGTGTCCCGAACGAGAGTGCGAAGAATGATATTAGCAATATTTCTCTCTTGCCGGCGAGTCGCACGTTGCGGCAAGTTTTATCGCCAAGTGGTGGCAGATAAATATTTTCCTTGGTTCCCCTTGTTAAGGCAGAGTATGCGCGCGACGCATCGATAAGGGAGAGAAAGAAAGAGAGAATGATTATGCTTTAATAACATCGTCGTCGATATTTTTCTTCGGGAATTCTTACTATTGGTCGCGTCCGAGAAAAAAGGTTTGCCGCTCGCAAATATCTGTTCGTATTTTATCCGATTGCACGCGATTTTTGTTGATGCTGTATCGACGTATATTTTCGGTTATATTATATACAATGCCTCTGCATGAATGCGCTATATGAATGCATCGAATGCAGTGTCCGGCGGAAAGAGTGAAACACGGTAAAACCAAATATAAATCGAGTGACAGGAGCCTGTTTTAAAAGTCAATCCGCAAAAACTTTTCCTTCTGCATAGAATCGGTCTTTTGTATTAAAAGTATTAACGAAGACGCGCCCGAATCGCTTACTAGATTTAAATGAAAGGATTAAAGGAAGGGAATTTACAATCGCATAAGTTTTCGTAGTACACTTCAACTCGTTTACAAGTTGTCGCTTTTGCTACAAGCGTTTCTGCACAAATTTCCTTCGTTCGTCTTATGAAAGTTACGGCTTCACTTTGGTAACTTTGATAACTCGACAATAAGACTTGTAACGCACTTTTGCGCATTGTAATACTGTAAAAAATATTCCTATAATGCATCCATATTCTCGATTTGACAAACAGTGCAGCTATTGTGAACAAAAATTTGTTGCGCGAAAAAGAAAAGATTATATAAGGCGTTATTATCACGATCTCTTCGCGAGAAATAGCGACCTTAATTTGAGAAAATTAAAGTGTCCTCTCGATTTGATTGACATGATATTTGCTGATTTAACTTGTTACGAATTCGTTTTCTGGCGACGAAAGTGACCTAATTTACTTATCGGTCTAATGCTAAGAAATTTGTTAAGACACGTTGCATAAAAATTGACAAACAAATGAAGTTGATAGACATAGAAATAGATAAATAGGTAGGTTGATAGATAGATAGATAGATAGATAGATAGAGAGAGAGAGAGAGAGAGAGAGAAAGAGTGAGCGAGAACGATATATAATTTGTTTTTTGGAAAACAATGCCATTGTTGAATATGCTTTGAAAGATATTTTCGTTATCTGCTGTTTTAAAAGTTACAATGTTGTATGAAAGATGAAAGAATTTTTTTTATATGCCATTGTTATAAATATTTGCGATTTTTATTTACCGAATGTCTAAAGAATATGACGAAGAGTGACAAACATTGGAGAAAATAACTACTGCAAATATTGAAAAATGGGAAATGAAGAGATTTAAAAAAAAAGATGGAAAAATGAGAAAAAGTTAATAGGATTGTGAAACGCTTGATAGTGAGATAGTTCGTCGACAGATCCTGCGGTTTTCTAAAGTTTGAATTTCGATATTACTGCTTTTTCTTTTCTCGTGAGAGAAAATTACAATTTACATAGTTCAAAAAAAAATGAACGAAACTCACAATTCAGATCCCTAGAGATAATTGTGTAAAATATTTGTACAAAATAGACTCGCTGGATCGTCGACACATATTTATATTTTCATTGTTACTTAACTAATTATTTCCCCGGCTCCGATGTCGTTTTTCCCGATCGCTAGTCTAGTGATCGTTTCAGAAATCGTGCTTTCCGCCTGATCTGATCTCTGACGAAGGCAGAGGGAGAGACTCGAAAACAGCCGAAATGGAGAGAGTTCAATGAACGTGATTTAAATTGATTCTTTATCGATATCTTTTTCTTTCTTTCTTTGTTCTCTTTTTCGTCCCCATGTCGGCCGTCGATCGTTTTTGGATTCTCTCACCCTCCTGCTTCTTCTTTATGTATTTATTTCACTCATCGTCAATTGACGTTAATAACGTATTGTGATAATGCAACGATATAATACATACATGTAAACATACACATCTACACATACACACACAGATACTCGGCTCCGCTTCGTCGTAATAGACTGATCAACCAAGCCGACCTATCAGCGTCGCCTATAGTGCTATGTCGCACTAACTCGAATCATATTGTTTGGAGAAATCAATAAAAACGTCTTTAATTTATCCGTGTTTACTACCTTTTCATTATTATGTATTTATAGATTTATATTAGAATACATAGACATAAGCATAAAAAATGGTAAAAAAGTATATATCAAATATTATAAAAGTGATACACATATAACTTTATTTAAGTTTTTTATATGTGAAAATAATTCATTATTATTATTTAAACATAATTGAAGATATAATTAAATAGAAATTATATAATAAATTTTAAAGTATGCAAAACATACTTTAAAATTTTATAGTATTAAGACAATTTTTATTCAAATTTTAATCTTTGATTAATTTTTGTCATGTGACGAAAATTGTAGCGATTTAATATTTATGATATAATAATTATGATATATAATGATTATTTTACGTCTTTAATCATTTTATTTTAATATTAATATTTTTCTTTCAATATTAATATTAATATTTTATTTTTATATTGATTATTTTTATATTAATATTAATATTTTATTTTTATATCGCCAATGATAAATTAGTTTCTTGTAAATACTTTCCTCTGAAATTTATTACAATTTTCAAATTGGGAAAACTAATTTCGGAAATCTAGTGACAAACTAAATACCACGTATCCTTTTTTGCGATTGTCATCTGTAAGCATTAATTTATTCACGTAAAAATAACGATATTAGTTCTTGCATATAATTTATTTCGTTTACTTTTTTTCGCGAATAAGCGAATTGGATGAAAATCCATCGAACAATCAATTTACATGTTTATTCAGATAAAAATTATTCTAATGCCATAAATTACTATAATGGCAATTTCGCTTTTATTGTACGATGAGATATATAAAGCCGCGCATGATATAGCACATGACATATAACGAGTTTGACTTATGGTAACAGAGTCCGATACGTATTTAAGATTGTACATATCTTGTTGGTGAACTGATTTATCACGCGAGCGGCGATTTAATATCCCCGACAGGAGTAACGATATAAAATACTTAAGTCACGATTGCTCGACATTACGACTAGTATAAATGTTTGTAATACTTGGAGTAATATAAATATCACAAGCAACATCGAATTAAACTCTAAGAATTAAACTCTAAAATGTAAACTATTGAGACATAAATTCTATTCGTGTTTCAACCAGTATGATTCAGACATTAATAGTTTCTTATCAATCATGTGTAATCTAAACAGTATAAATCATGATGTTTGTGAAATTTCGTGACTTAATTAATATTAACTCTGGAAAAAGATAAAAAAGTGCACAAGTTTTAATTACATATAAAAATTATCTTTTAATTACACACATATTTTATATTTATCTTAATAATATTTAATTTCGCATCCAAAATCAAAAAAGAAGATTTCCACGTCATTTTTCGACGATAAGATCTCTTGGAAAATATATACTTGAATACTACTTGTACGATTGCAATCGCGATCTTTCTCCATTGGTGGCACGATATTATCTGTTTAAGTACCGTTTATGCATCGTAATTTCTCGAGAAGTCCTGCCGATTTCATCGCGAGCTTTGCATCGCCGTCCTCGACGCCTCCGCGCACGCGCGCAAATTCACTGCAAGCGAACGCATGATTCTCGTCAAGTCAGGAATCAGTTTATGCGCTTCGCGATACTAGACCGTCGTTCGACGGCGGCGGATGCAGTCCGATGACCTCCTCTTCCTTATCTCGGAATTGAGTAATAGCCCCTTCGCCGGTTCGTGTGTGGGTCGGCAAACTGCTATAATTCGCCCACGTTGCACATCCACTCCCTGATACTGTTAACATCCGCTCTTGATGCTCACCGCACCCCTTTTTGTCCGAATTTTTGAACCGATTTCTTACAAAGAAATTCGTAAAAGCTGATTCTTGCCCTCTGCTTATTGCAATGATAGGAAATCCTTATGATTTGAAGGACCAAAGAGTCTTTAAAAAAGATTCAGGACTTTTCTATACAATTAAATATTTGCGTATTAAAAACCATTTTTTTTTTAAATTCGAAAAGAGACGCGAAATAAATAATAATATATATTTCTTTTTTAATTTATTTTCCATTCAAGAGTTCTCTTATATTTATTATGTGATTATTTCCTTTCATTTTCCTGTTACAATATTCTTTGTGCACGGAATCACTGCTGGAAACAGCTATTCTAGATTTCTGAGACGGAGATGAGAGCTGGTCGTAAGCGGATTCAGGTCACGCTTGCGGTCAGATTCAGGGTCTCTCGCCTCGTGCCGAAATGAATGTTCGTAATCAATGACACTTCATTAGCTGGTCGACGCATTGCCTAACAGCCTGCGGCATGCTCTGTCGATTGAATTAGCCGATGTGTTTGCGTATATGTGCAACGTAATCCCTCTGTCTTATCGCGCCGTTACTTGAGAATGAATCATTATACCGGTTCGAATTAAGGACGTCAATCACGATCGGGGCAAAAGAGAATCAGAAAAAAATCAAGAATTAATATGCCGATCTTTACAGCAGATCCATCCGAGAGAAAAGTCAATCGAACGAGTCGATCCGCGTCGAAGTTTGCTAATCACGAAATTGTTGCAATTTACGGTTATTATCTCACCTGGCGAATACAGATGATTCGTTCGAGTATCATCTGTTAATTCGAGTTCGATCGCGAAAAAATCGGGAAAAGATAGACGCGTATATCGAGGGGAAACGTGTCACGTATCGAATTATTTCAAGGGCAGATGATGCGTAAGTTACGGCAACTTGTATTTTCTGTTGCGTGCAAGCAGATGTAGTCGTTTATGCAACATCGTAAATTTAAATAAACAAGATGATGAAGTCCGGAGCCATAATATTTATAGGATTTGAATTTATATGCGGATTCAGAACGATTCTAATTAATTTATCGATGCATTATTTCACGTCTGCAGAATGTAATGAAAACACGTCATTAATTTCAAGTTACATATATCTCTGAGCTCTATAGAGCTTCTATATCTTGATACTTTGGATTCAAATATTGCTTATGTAACGATATAGTATATAGAGGATATATATGACGAACGTGTTTTATATAACTAACGCGCGACTTAAGCCGACTAAATTCGATATCACGAAAGTGTAATGTAAGAAGAAGATTACATAAGATACATTGGATTTGCACCATTGATTGCACACGAAAATCTAAAGTCAACGCTAAAAATTTTACACTTTGATTTTCATAGCAAGTATATAATTATTTTTCCTTCTCCACCTGTGTAATTTGCTATCAACATTTACCGATAATAGATCGATATTTTATCATGTGGATATATAATCTCATATGCTATTACCACATGGCAATTGCCACTTATTACTTTGCATTACGTATTACCAGACTGAAAATTATAAAACTCCTAACGTGGCTTGATTATTTAAAAAATAAAATTTTATTAAGCATATATTAAATACATCGAATGCGATATAATCTGCTTATTTTAGATATATAATTATTGTTTTTTACCACATTTTTAAATGAGGTGATTAAAATTAATTTGAAATATACAACTAAACTTTTTATTATATCAAACAAATTATGCATACGAGAAAAATAATTATTTTTCGAATCTTGATTACGTTTTTCTTTAAAAAATTTATTTTTAAAATATTAAAAATTAATAAATATTATCTTATTATAAAATTTAAATTTATAAATATTATTTTATTATAAAATTTATTTTTACAAGAGAAGAGATTCTTACACATGTGCATGCACCGAGAGAGGTTCGTTGTACGAAGTCTCGTAACGCACTAGCGCAGTTTCTCGCTAATTATGCGACCTGTCATTAAGACGCTCGCGAAAAAAAGGACCCAAGGGCATAATGCCGACCCGACGTTGCACTGCCGCGTAAGCCGGCTGTTTTTCATCCTCGGCCTTATAATCACACACACTTTGTATCGCCGCATTGGCACCTTCTACACTCGTTAGTGCTTCTTCGTTCGTACGTTCGTTCGTGAAAGGAGAAGAAGAGAGAAGGAAGAAGAGAGGGAGAGCTGTATCTCAACGACGACGCGTTCTCTTAAGTATATTTTAAGAGCCGCGTCGTTTCCAGTCAATTTGCATCTGAATACGAGCGTCATAATGGCCTGAACTTTGCATACGTGACCTTGTCGCGTGTATCACGAGCAGAATGCGCTTGGGAGAGAACGTTGTTGTCGGTATTCCGCCGCCTATACGCTCGCTCTTAATTACGACTATTAATACAGAACGAAAGTCCTCGCACGGACGAAGCAATTGCTCGAAAATATACGACGTGCTTTATAATTTGTAAGATCGGATGTTAGAGTATGGTTCATAAAGCTCATCAGGAATAATTTAGTGTTTTTAATTTCCGTCGATGATCGATGATATTTCTCATCGAACTATGTTCGATGGTCGCTTTATATATATGCTTTATTTTAATAGTACAAACGGAAATAACTTTTTTGCATTCTCATATTTGAAAAATATTCTGTAGTATAAAGTCCAATACGCTCAACATTTCAGGCGTTATTAGCGAATAATTGGTATCCATTATTTATCTGAGTAATTATTCGAATAAAACTACTGTTGAATGGTTGTGTGACGTATATTCGGATCATAAATATTCATTATTTAATTATTACTCGCGTGGGATGCAAAAAGGCACTTTATCACAAACAGTATGGAGATTTATTTTTTTTTAGACATTATGTAATCTATATTATTTGAAAATAAACTTAATTCTGACAAATATATAAATATATAGATCGTGTAGCTTACGTTTCAATAAATGTGCCAAACGACGTACGCGATAAATTTATGTGTGAGGTAGGTCGTGTAAATGTAGTCAAAATACAGGCAAAAAGACTTCTCTCCGGTAACGAGTGGCAATTACTATAAGAGCGATAAGTGCACGGTGCTTATGCGAGGTAGATCTTAAAGCAGCAGTCGCGAAAGAAAATATTTAACCGTCGTAAAACAATCAACGAATGTTCTTTATAACTTTGCGGATCGGGATCTTTTTTTCCAGCTTCGCACTTTATCACAGTATCCGAACAAAATTGAATTC